TCTTTAGTCATTCTGATAATAAGCTTGGAAATATGCCGACTTAGGAAAAGCCAGAAATTTCAAATCATTTAAAAGGGGATATGAAATAAACAACCATGTCATCTCTTAGTACAGGCTTTGAGCCTCCCTAAATAGAACTACGAAGGCGTTACGGTCAACCAGCAACTTACTGGTATTTTATCAGGCAGTTTCGAATGCACATTGTTTCTGAGGCAGAAGAAGACGAAGGTCAGTGACTTCGACAATTGATCAAAATGCTCGACAAGCCACAGAGGAATTCAACACGTTTTGACCATCGTCCAGTTAACATAGAAAACGAGAAATTCGCATACGATTATTTGGAAGGACACATGAAGTTATGTGATCCTTGACAGCTGAGTTAGTCTCAGGTTCCAGGATAGAATATCACAATGCGGAAACCCTGTCCAGGCCGGCAAATAAAGTGGAAAGTCCTTTGATAGTAGTAAAACAAAACAGTTTATTCTGTGGACCTCAACTCTTTAGGCACCCTAGAAAATGAAATAAACAGATTGCCCTTACAGTTACAGATTAAATGAGTAGGAACGGTTGGAAGATTGATAGCAAATGGTTGGCAGAGTTTGAATAATCTAGAACAGCAGTTTTACTCAGCAGACTTTGGCGAAAGGTGGCAAATAGTAGATGAAGTACAAACAAGATAGACTGATTCACACGTGAGATGTGATCTGTTATGACAAATATCAAGCTCACTTGTGTGATATGTAAAGGATATCACACCATGAGAAAATATTACTGATTACCTGCACTAGCAGTTACTAGAGAACTTATTTTAAACTGATGTGCCCTGGTTACTTATTCTAGTTATTGTATGGTCACATACCGCTGACAATAATGCTTTGTTTTACCAAACTGACGAATATCCCATGGAGTGACGGATTATCGGCAACCCTTGATTGTCTGCTGCAAACATTTTTCGTTTGTCTGGATCCTTAAATAATAAAATTCGACCCTCTTTTTGGAAATATTTTTTGTATATGCTTGGAAGTTTGGCAGTTTTCTTTATCCAACATTGTTTGCTCTCAGACAACCGGATCTCTCGATATATTTAAACCGAACATAACAACTATCTCACTGAAAATTCTTGTTTGCTGTTGGCTTAAAGAACCTTGTAGGGACGAGTGAAATGTCGCCGAATCCTAGCAAAATCACCCGTCAGGCCATTCAATGAATGTCAAGTGGTCTGATGAACCTCGTCGACGTCAAAGACAACCAAGGCCTGTCATGGACTAATGAATGAGACAATGGTTCCACCTTGTGCTTATGTTATTAGCCGATACTAATATTTACTTTCGCCCATTAAGAGTATTTCTTCTAGCAAATCACCTGGTCATGACGATGGTATTACGTCAGTGTATGCTATGAGGTGACAAAATTCCTGTTAAACCCAAGTAAGACAGCAAACACCAACACAGATGTTCTACGTCGGCGATCTACAACTTTTCCTAAGTTCAAACACTTATATGTTGTTCGCTACTGTTCTAATGATAAGGTATGATCAATCCGGCAGACGCAGCCAACTTAGGTGAGGAACTGTAGGCGAAAGATGAGTACATAGTTTCTATCTTCCCTGATAGCTGTTCAAACCGGCTGGAAAAACCTTTTGGTTGGACTGACCTATAATAAAACTGACTGTAAATATACTTTAAAACTCGTTCTGGACTAGGATGAAACCTCATTTTTGATGTATCTGGAATAAACAAAAGCTACAGCTGCAGATCAAAAATCGTACGACTAATGCACACCAATTGATTGAAAATCTCATTTTCAGTGCATGCTCTTTATTCCGTATGAAATTCCGAATGAAATATCTCGTCATCAATTTTCGTTGACCTTCCCATAAGCTACGCATGATAATAATAAAAGTTATTACCTCACAACATGGGTTAAAAACGATGACCTTTCTCCATGATAATGTAGTATGTATTTTATCCCGAATTTGTGTCTACAACAGCTAGACTACAGAAGTTTAAACTTCTGATAATATGTAAAATTTATTGAAATGTTATCTGAAAGAAAAAACAGGTGGATAACTTCCTAAACTTTCTTTATGGATTCTAAACTCGTAGCTTCTGACGTATTGTCCGGAATAAAATATCTGGAAAAACAGGACAGTTCCGGACTACAATAATCTGGGTATTTTCATATACACTGTATCATTTCTTTTTTAACTGAAGTATGATGCATTGTTACTTTAACAAGCTAGACTAAAGGACTATATTAAATTTTCCGGGCAGCTTGTTGAGTATGTCTGAATGATAATGTTCTAACACGGTTAGACGATCCCTACGTGTTGATACATGCAAAAATAAACTGATTCGTGTTAATGGATTTTATTCATACTTTGAGAATTCCCGTCAATAGCTCGTGATTTAGATTAGTGTCTTATTTACCAATCGTGGAAACGGTTTAAGCAATCTATCCAAAGCAATGCATATGAGTTTACATCGTTTGTCTCAGAAATATTTCGTTTAGGTGGAGTATTCTTAAAAGCTAACACCGTGAGCGAAACTATGAAAGACTAATTGTTATATGTTTACCTGGCCGAAAATATCAATCGTATTTGATGAAATATATTATGGTTATTTTAGGAGTGCGGCCAGTAGATATAATAAATGCGTAATAAGTCTAAACTGAGTTGAAGTTTGAAACAGAGGTTATACTCTTCGAAATAGTTAGTAATAAGTAACTGTTAGGAGTATTTTTCATGTCAACTTGATGACAGCCACGGCCTGTAAGCCAAATACTCCAGACTATCCAAGTAGCAATGTGTAATAAAAACATGTACAGGTTGTTCGAAGAGTGAATTTTTCCAAAGTTTATCATGTGGTCCAATTCGTTCTTCTATGATCTCAGTTTTAATAGAACTAGTAGGTATGCTTTAAAAATAAATATGTTCACGTAAGCTTAGTTTGCTTTGTAATATTACTAGTAACACACAATAACTCCGATCATGTTTGCATTATTTTGGAGGGCGATCGGAACACTTTGTGTATTTTATAAAAGCCAATGTAGGAACAGTAGTCTGAATAAGCTTCGACCAAACAGGTTGGCTGGAATATCTTACACTCGTTAATGCCAGTGGTAGTCTTTAGTCATTCGGACGACAGCCTTCAGTAACAATCTCAACTTCGACAATATTGGTGGTTAAAAACATAGTAAATAAATGTGAGAATGATAAATATTTGAAAAATCATGGATGCATCAATACACAAAATTATACAGTATTGCTATTGGAGAAAGTGAAAGCGCTAATCCACCAACCAATTAGAGAGGACTAAAAAGTGTTGGTGCCAAATTTGTACAAGAACTATATGATAATATATAAAATCAGGTAGCAATGCGCAACAATCAGTAGAACTGTATTACTCCACTACTTGTTAAATGCTACATGTAGTGTAATGGATTGTTTACTAGATCGAAAATCATAACGTGTAATTAGTAATTCCAATATGCCATAAATTATCTGGTAACAAAAACGAATGTAATCCTTATGTCTATGTAACGGTTATTCTAATGATCTGCAAATATGGAAACTGAATGAATGGAATCTAGAATAGTGTGAGAAGCTGTGTATTTTGAGAATAACAGTCATTTTCATGCAGATGGCATGTAGTGAATAAGGTAAAGCTTCAACAACTGTCCTGAAGCCAATGTCAAACAGAATTATGTGACTAATTAGAAAAATGATCTGTCAATAATTACATACCAACCATCCACAATAGACCAAAATGTATTGAAATTGCAAACAAATTTATCGTAGTGAGCAATTCCTAAGCTGTATTTTTGTCAAGGAATATGTGTTCCATAAATAATTGAAACGTAATCGGGTATAGATCCTCGAGCTAGCTCTTTTAGCCAATGGAGTATCCAATAAAACCAACTTGGTCAACTCCGGTTTTATATCCCTCGGGGCTACAAACGTGACAAGCTGCATATTGTGAAGTTGTTAAATACAAATTGTCCTGGAAGTAAAAGAAGGTATCACATTTCGTCAAAATTGTAAAACGTATTAAGTTTTCAATCACCGCAGCTAATTTTCGGGGTTTAATAACATTGCATAAAAGAATCATGCTCCGATATTATCAGGAAAGGAATTAGAAAGTTTTAGGTGCAAAAGCTCCTGCCTTCAGAAGCTTAGATGCGCGTTTCGACATTAGAACAGAATACATATAAATATGCGAGGAAAAAAACAAGAAAACTATATAATACGACTGTGGTTAAAAATTTATAAATATATAACGTCATAACAAGGAACAAACAATATTTCGTTGAGTGTGCCAGACCACGCCGGACATACCAGTGAAGGTGTCTCCGATATTCAGATTTTACCAACTCTTTCTGTCGACTGCACCTTTCGATTCGACGATACCCAAAGCCAAGTCAAACAAGAAATCATGAACGAGGATGACTGTACGTAAATTTGAATTATGATTGAAGTATTGAGAAGTGAGAGATCAGAGCTGTATATTTAGCGCAACAATATGTGTAACATGGAGTACGCGCTGGTGATCTGGTGAGGACGAATGGTTGAAGGAATTCAGTAGCGATCGTTCCAGTAAAACTAATAAGGCCAGCATAACTGTCGAAGACTTACAGAATTATTTATACTTGGGATGTATATACCTCAACATGCTACTTTACATCACTAGCTCCTGGGTATTTTTTGACAGTTCGTGCCTGAGGTAAACTTAAGAAGCTGATGCAGAGGATTTACAAGTGCATTTAGGACATTATACGTCATTTCCGGATCCTTTCCATTTACCGATACACTAAGAGGTGAAGATGGTTCTATGTATCTCATTAAGCTTTCCTTATAGATACAAAACGTTTTTTATACCGAAAATCGTTTCTGCCTCATTTCTTTCCATTTAAATTTCTTTTGGTTTATCTCAGTCAACACAACCTTCCTGACCTTGTTCATTTGGTGGCGCAATGCTAGAGAATCTTTCCCGTTTGAAGTTATGAGTGTTGTCGAGGTACCCTTTATTATTGTTTTATTTGTGGTTACGTTCCCTATAGATTTCTCTCTCGGACTCAACCAGTGACTCCTCTGACGAGCAGGTATCTTTGCCGACCGTGATATTTTAATTTATTTAGGATGAGTCAGAAAGTGAATTCACCGACGAACATAAACTTGAAAAAGCAAAAGAAAATATCGAAATTAATGATGATTCATTTGGTGACGATACTGAGGTAATCCGGGTCACTAAACGAACGTCAGTTAGACATGTCCTATATGTTTTGAACTGTGGACCTCATCTGGACCACACAAAGTCTGTTGTCTTCGTTGTGGACATCTTTTCGGCTATTCGTATGTCAAACTAATTTAATTCGATTGTTACATTGTAGATGTGTTACGAAATGGTTCAAGGCTGCTGGGAAAAAAGCCAAGTGCCCTCAGTGCAATGCGAAAGCTAATCGACGTGATATCCGAGTACTGTATTGCAAAAACCTAAAGGTAAGTGAAATCTACTAATAGTTGTTGAAAATACTAATTTTTCTATAAATGAATAATATATGCCTTACTTTTTCAATCGTTAGGTCAAAAACTTGGCTTCCTTGTCAAAGTTATCCCAATAACTATAGGTTCTCAAAATAAAGTTGTATCAAGAGAAAGTTTGGATGTACGTAGGGCTGGTATTCACTGTATGTCCACGTTTTTCTCTTTCTTGAAAAATTTTCATCAGTAATGCCCTTCGCCGTCGTTTTATACTTCCTCATGCATCTGACCAGACTTCTTTTGTCAATCGATTATGTTAATTCACTTTCGTTATCTCATTTTGTTCTCTTCTCAACGTATCGCTTAAGTTTAAACCTCACAGAATAACATAAGTTTCCAAGAATTTCGACCCTAGCTACTTGCTAACACATTTTACGGGTTTCAGTCTCAATTTTATACATACATTCACATCTATCCTTTATCACTGTTTTAATGATCAGAATAATTGAAATCTTTTAGGTTTTGGACACAACTGACCGAGACAGAGCCCTGGCTGAACTTGAACGTGAAAAACGAGAACGGCAGAAAGCAGAACAGGAGGCTGCAGAATTTAAAGCAAGATGTGATCTTCTCTATGCAGAGGTACTTCAACTTCGTGACGAGCTCCAGACTACCACAGGATGCTCTAAAGTTCGTGTGCAAAACACTAATGAAGTCTCGAGTTACAAAGCGTCAAGGTGAATCAGTTCTGTTAAGACTATATTTGCATTACAACCTATAAACTTAAGTTGGCAGTTGATCGTTAGTGCGATTTTTGAGCTCAGACAGTTTTTTCACTTGATTAAAGAGTTACTTGTCACTATTAATAGTTCATATTTTAAGCACATTAGGACTTTCGCTTAGTTTATTTTCCAAAGTTTGTCGATTAGTCAGGATTTGATTGTAACCAATTTAGTCTTGCTAGCTGTTACGAATATAAAGGTGGATGTCACTTCCTAGCTTCCCACACGATGGAAAGGTATTTCCTGAAAAACTTGAAAAAAATTAGATTGGTGTTGCTCTTGGGGACCCGGGAGCGTGACCGCAGAGACCAAAAGACAACTACTTGAGGCCGGCCTTGTACAGACTTTTTGTCTCAGCTCTTCAAATGGCCCCACTGGAGACGAAAGTCTGTGCGGTAATATGAGATTTGGCATTTTTGGGGTCAACCTTTTCTAACCCATTCCTTCTTCGTAGAAAGGCAGCATCGATGCAGATGCTGGTTGTCCGAGAGAAACACCTTACTACTGTCACACCCCTCTACAGTAAGCAGTACGACTTCGCCCTAAGACCTTGAGTTGTTGCTTTTAGTCTTACCGTCCTCCGATCGACCTAAAGAAAAATAAGTTTTAGCTAATATAGTTCGATGTGGTATGGCAACATGAACTGATGTACTTACGTACGAAGTTCTACGTTGCACCTGACTGACTGACTGAATATAGTTCGGTTGGGTCATCACGATAGGCAAGCTCGATCACCAGATCAAGGTGGTGGCTACAGTCGGGCCAATTTCATGAAACATACTATATACGCATGAAGAGTTGAGATCTCGCAGTTTACATTTCGTCTTGTTTCTATATTTCCTTCATATAGAAGGTAAAATGTATTCAGTCACTTAATCTTTCAAAAGTATTATATTAAAAAAAGTCTTGAAAAGTAGGGAAAGTCACTAAGTTATTTCGATGCCAAGTCGACACCAGAACTTATTTGAGTATCAGTCGGTCAATTATTAATAATGTAGCACCTAGTGGAAGTATGCATTAACCCAATTAATTTATCATATTTCACAGCGACGTACCTAAAGTAAATTAGTGCAATGTAAATCAGGAGAGTTCAAATAGTGGTATTAAAGAAAATGAGGAACTAAACACGTAATCTAGTTGGAAAAAACCAAACTAAAAAATTAAAAATACGAATGTAGTAGTGAGACTCAAAATTTAAGCAAAGTAACAAAGCGAATGCATCACAGTTGTTGACTTCATGGAACGATGTTATATATTAGTCTTACCTCTACTATTTTGGTAAATTAGCTTTGCATAAGGATATAATAATATTTTTGGCAATAGAACAATCTAAACATTCTCGGTATTTCATTGCTTATTATCTTTTAGCTCAGACGGTTCAACTGTTCCCACTGGTTTTGATGGTCAGTATACATTAGTAAATTCATTATTGATCTCAGTTGTAAGTTTTCATTTCAATATTGAGTGTTATTTTTTATTTAGTTCCAGTCCACTCGTTTGTAGCAATACACTTTTTATAGTTGAAACAATTGCTTAACGATTTTATATTTTTTAATCTTTATTTTAAAAACAAATGAGCATAAAAGGTGTATAAAAACAATTTTAATTTTCATCAGTTTAAATATATGATCTGAACGTAGACACCAAGTTGAATTATCCTGATAGTGAGAACGTATCCAATAGTCTTACAATATGATTATCTTTATATTTCGTGATTGTCGCAATGTTGCGATATGTAGTCCTGCTGTGAACATTTAAGGGTTACTGGATATCCAGAGCATCTAAAGTAGGTGTATTTCGCTAGTTTTGATTCTGTAACTTTTTACTAGAGCATGTTTACTTTTCAATCCATCACATTTAATAAAAGTTCATATTGCTACGCAATTCTTTTTTAGCTTAGGCTTTAAAAATTTCTGTCATCCTACTTCTCTTAGTTTTCATTTAACCATTCATTTTAGGCATTCAGTCCTATTATTTACATCATGTATCCTGCTTAATTAACTAAGTACGTTTGTTTGACCATAGTCTGTTTCATGCTTGTTAATGCCACTATATGGCATATATCTATTTTGTTGCTAGATTTCACTAACATTCACCAGAAATTTCAAACTTCCACCATTAAATGACCAGCCGTAAGACTGATTGATAAAAAACATCTGTTTTGTTTGAAGAGTCTGGTGCTTCTGTATTTTTAGTGGTTGTCTACCTAATATAAATCCATCATATTAACTCCCTTCAAAATAGTTAGAGAACCACTTCCACTGGTTATTCCAAAAGCAATTAAGAGTGTTCATCCAAATGATTGTCAGTTGCAAAATCATAATTCTAGGATTTTTTTTCTGGCTGATGAATATCCTCCATATGGTCTTACAAGGATAACACCCTTCTATTCATAAATATTTTCATATCTATAATGCTAGATATCTGTCCTTATTCGTTGTATGTTGACTTATTAATTTCCATATACAGCCTTCTAGTTTTTATATTCTATCTACTGTGATATCTTAATGATTTTCTATGTAAAGATCTTTGTTGTCTCTGTCATTTCAGTGTGGAAATTGTCGTGTTATGGCATCATGTGATTACTTGAATACCTTGTGTGTTTCACAGTCTTCAACTAATCCAATATTTCGAGGATTCGGTATACGTAAGGTTAGTATAGTTAGGTACATGGTAATCACTTCAGAATTGCTAGTTTGTATTATTTTGTACACTACCTAACTTTGTTTGATTACTGAGTTTATGGAGGATTTTTTTAACAAACTAAATATTTTTACCTCATTCTTTAGCTTTTTCTTCATAACTATCAATGATTATTCGTGTGGCAAAGCTTAAAGTAAATAATCTTGGATTCATGTTTCACCTAAAATCACTAATAATTACTAACGTGTTAGCGCACTGCTGGTATGTCTCTTAAGTACCACTTCTAACACAATGTAATCATCCTAATAATGCAATTAGTAGTAAAATCCCAAAACGTTTGGCGCTCTGATTTAGTAATAGTGGCAGGTGACTTGAATGCTCAAGTAGGTAGACTAAATGAAAAGGAAAGACACCTGGGTGGATCTTACGGTGTCGTGGCTCAAAGAGCAGATAATAGAGACCGTCTGTTGCAGCTATGCCTAGATAACCGCCTATTCCCAGTAAATACTAACTTTAAGCACAAGGCAGAACATCTTTTGACATGGCGACCCCCTAAAGTCGTCACAACGTTGTACACAAATAGATCACCATCAGCCACCGATGGGGAGGTTCCATAGAAAACCCACTCATTCCGGAGCACATGTTTAAATTCAGATAATGCTCTAGTGCAAGCGCGTATTTGTTTACAGCTTACTGAGTCATGTTTGTAGGTGTCGACTACCTGGTTGGGGCCCGCCAGATGACAGTAATCGATGGTTAGCGACCCTGAGTGACATGGCTCAGAATCGTTTGCAATGGCGCAGGTGCATTCATCCTTTGTATCCTCTCAAATTGTAATCTCTTGAATTCCTTTCACCTCTATCTTTCTATTTTTAAATTTATTTCACTGAATTATACTTCTTGAATATCTTCAAACCCTTATCTTCTCCTTTAACGCTAGTACTTCTACTATTATGGGATTTAAATTGACAGTTGCGTCTCTGCACTATTGTAGTACGGCAACCTGAACTGATGTACATACGTACGAAGTTCTACTGACTGAATAGTAGAATCTAAAGCATACTACTGAACCATTTTGTGCATCTTATTAGTACACAACTCATTTCATCATACGATAGGTTCTAATCCCAAAAATTCAATTTAGTTTGACTATAAGGATCTAAATATTAGATAATAATCATAGTTTTTTGTTAAAGAAAGTTCAGTTATACAACTAATAACTTGCTGCTCTGCTTTCTCTAAAACATTTTTCTCACACAAACTTTATTTATTCTCATAAAACTAACACAATGAGTGTTTATTATTATCAGTCATTTATTCCCTTTTAAATTTATGTTTTGATGTATGTTTGGTCAGGTCCATAGTGCTGAACAAAGACTAATAAAATATGTACACTTACATACGCAACCAATTCGTGACTTGGCATTTCATCCAGAAGCTCATGATGGTATTATTGCAAGCGCAAGCTTAGATAAAACTTTACGTCTTACTAGTTTATTAAATGATTCAGTGAGTTTAATTCCTTTATGCTCTTTTTTGTCTGTTTAATCTAGTCAAAAGTTAGATGTGTAATTTTAATTATTGTTTACCGACAATAAAATGTTGTAGATCACCTATTCATAATAAGTTTCAACCATGTAAACATACTAAATGAATTATTATTTCAATGTCTCTACAAGTGTCAAAGTGTTAAGCACAATGCTCCTCACAATTGCATTATTCAAGTCAATATAATACATACTCTCTTTGAGTCATTAGGGATGATCCCAACTCGTTGACTAGTTTCTTCTAGACAAACTTATCTATCCTTAGAAACTTCATAATGTTTAGAAAAATTGATTTAAACGGTAAATGTGTATCCATAGACTCATTAGTCATCTAAATCTCGGGTAATGCATACTCCCCTGTTAAGACACGCTAAATAATTGCAATAAGTTATTGAAGACCTTAAGCAGCATGTCTCAAAAATCTCAGTGCTTCAGATATGTTCATTTCGTAATTAAAATGAGATGTAGAGCTCTGATATCGTTTCACAGATTTTATTCATCGATCTCCATTCCTTTATACCTTCTGTTAGCACAAAATAAACATGACAAAGTCTCATAGGCAATTACGATAAATCGGTCTGTAAGTCTCTCTTTCTCCAATGAGTTGAGACTTGGTTTTTACGTTGAGTTATTAGGCATCGTATTAGACAGAATGCTCAAAAAATGCCAAATAAAAACACTCACTGGTCTAACAGGAATTGTACCATATTATTTTAGAAAGAATGAAAAAATCACCTATTCTGATCATTTCGTCCAATACTGTTTAGGGCAAAAATGAAAACTTGCAAAGTTGACCGTTCAACTCCAAATAAATACATCAATAATACTGGGTACTTATAAGTGATTTTCAAATATTTGAAACAAGTAAATCAAAAACTCTGTCTTAACCCATTGCAGATTCGGAACTACACTACGAGTTTATCGTTTACTGTTGAGTAGAATAAGTGTTCAAATTAAGAGTTTAAAAAAGTAATACACTGGTTGAAAACAAAATAATATATAAAATAAAATAAGCTAGTCAACAATATGCATATCAGGAAGTTGATAATTATCAACGTAAGACCTGGCACTAATATGTATCGATCCGAGTTCCGATTCTCCATATTGGCACTACATGATAGTAAATTTTAAACAATGAAGAATACAGAAAAAAATTTAATCAATCATATGAAAAATCTAAACGTAAAAATCCTGTAACCGAGAATCGATTGTGTTCATACGTCATCCATTCCTTCAGGGACACGGAGTTCATGTACACCATTCATATAAAATCAATTATTTTTGACTGAAAATTGAGTGTCAATACGAATCCCTGAATATTTCAAAAAACAGGGTTAACCGCCTCTTCTCTACGTCTCGATTTTCGGTAGTATTGGAGAGTTCGACGTTTGGTATACTTTTGATCTAAAATTTCTCAACTGTTTTCAAAATTTAAAAACTCCAATTATATTATTTCGATTCCAGAAAAAATTAGTCACCTGCTACAACCTTAATGTAGTATTATAATAAACATTTGCACATTCATTTTGATACTTATGTTTGTGTGCATAGTTTCAACTTCTTCAAATGTATAGAAAAACAGTATCTTCTTTCCATTAACTTCAGATTGTTCAAACTTATCATTGTCCAGTAGGAATATGGAGTTGTTGTTGGGCTGAAGATTCAAATCGTTTATTTGCTGGTTGTGCAAATGGTTCAATTATGTTATATGATATACGTGTGACTACTGGTCCAATAGATATTTTCTATGTACCAAATAATGATGCTCCAGTTTTGGGATTACAGTATTTATCACCTAATGTAAATCAAAATATTTCCAGTGATGGAGGTTTATTAGTCGGTCAATTAAATAAAGTAAGTTATTTGAATTTAATCGATGCATTGTTTACGAAAACTCTCTGTAAAGCAATAATTAGTATGTATTAACTTTCTTTGTGAGAATACAATCAATATACGTGAAATTTTATCCGAGAAGTTGAATTGTTATTGAGTATATTAAATAATTCAGAAATCTACTGTTAAATTCTCATTGAGATTCATGATTATAACAAAGCTAAGTACACAAACAGATTAACTTTCGAATTTCAACTAAATCTATTCACCAGATACATTGAACTTCCTATAAACTGACCAAATTCTTCTAAATGAGACGAAAATCCAAAAAACGCTTTCAAGGTTATACAACTACCTCAGTTCTCCATCTTCATTCTGCGTTTCTAAAAAAAATTTGTCTAATTATCGAAAAAATTCTTGACTTTACCAATCTTTTACTAGAAAAATTTTTCATTTAAGTACGTAATATATTTAGTCAGAAGGTGATACACTACATTTTATACTATATATGTATTCTCTGTATTGATTCTTTCACGGTGTTGGCAGCCGGGAAGTGACATTCGCCCTCATACCCGTAACGGCATGAGATCAAATCGGTTACAATCGAATTCTTCCCACACTTCCTAATAACTCTGACCTCCACGGCTAACCTTTCTCGTATAACTTTATCACATAGCACCGCTAATGCAAACGATTTGAGTACGTGGGACGTTATTCCTGGTCTCCTGCAACCACGCTCTAAACTACAAGGTAGAGTTTTTAATGTCCGAACATTGTGCCAAATAAGACAACAGCCTTCCTTAGATAGAACTTTAGAACCACAAATTCTAATCTAAATTCCTCATAGCCTGCATCTTCCTCTTCTCAAATTTATTTCACTGGATTATACTCCTTGAATAACATATTCAAACTCTAATCTTTCCAATTACTGCTCATACTTCTACTATCTCTACCACTATGGGATTTGAATTGACAATTGCCTCTCTGTGCTAATATAGTATGGCAACTTGAACTGATGTACGTATGTACGAAGTTCTACGTTGTTGCTGACTGCATTGATTACACCCAATGCTTAATGTGTATCCCAATAGATTATTTATACAAAAAGAAAAATACCTTTCTTCATTCTAGTTCTGTACTGTATCGGTCGTATAATACTCTACAAATAAGGTACATATTTAGTTGAATTAGGTTTGTTCGCTGTTTTCCTTTCAATCATGCAAACTATAAATATCTTGCTAAAATTGTGGCTCATTTGTATTGGAAATGAATTGATATTTAGTAGTCATAAAAAAGAGCGGTAATAGTATCAAGATCCAAGTTGTTATTTGTAAATTACTGCCATAATCGTTCTGAGTACTAATTTAATGCACGCAATTTTTTTAAAAGAGTGTTAAGCTAATTGCTTTTTCTTTAGTTATGGAATACATTTGTGCCTACCTGAATAACATAATATTGATAAGATTTTTCCTACTATAAAGTGCAGTCAATAAGGGGTTATGTAAAGTTGTCGAATTTCACTGAGATCATGAACCAATCTAAATTAGACCATCATTAAGACCGAATGTCCTGTGTTTGATTCTCATGTGCAAGCTCGGCAATGTGCACTGCTGAGCAGTTGTCCGCTACTTCCAGGTTTTTCAATGGTGGTCTAACTTCAACTGGTTCATGATCTTAACGAAACATAAAATATAGATTTAAATGCTAATTTCCAATTGTACCTTAAACAAAAAAGTATTATTTAGATGATATGATCTCATTAGCTTTCTATTTTATTTATTAATTATCGTGTGTAAGATAAAACAAATCGATCCGCCTCTCATAATATAGAACTTTAATTTTTTATGATGTTAATATTATTTTGGTGTAATTTTTGATATATAAAATGGTACAATAGATGTTTTAAGAGATGGGTTATGAGCCCATGTTGTCTTTTACATTGATTCATCGAATACTGTTCCCTAGTAAATTTTTAACATTATGTTACAAGCAACCCGCTGATAGCTATTCACAGAATTGAATTATTAATGCAAGCATCCCCAATTGAACTAACGCCAAACGACGATACAACTGATTGTCAATCAGTATTTTTTTTAACAAGACATTAATATCCAAGTACAAATTTATGTGTGTTTACGTATCATTCAACATGTAATTGATTATTTGATGTTGTAGACCGACCACTTACAAGTTTGCTTACGTTTAACCTCTTTCCTTCACCATGTACTATGAATTATCTTAGTTATTAGCTCAAATTTTATTCTCAATTCATAACGTGTTGTATCAATAATGTTTCAGGACATAAATATGGTTTTAAAGAAAAAATTGTGAATTTCTACAGAAAATATCTATTCATAATGTAAGGCTTAATGATACACTATGTAGCTTATTGGTTGTTGATAATAAATTAGTTAGCAATTCTTATGTACTTGCAAAAACTGTAGCAGATGTCACTACTTCGTCAGAAAATATCATGCATCGATCGCAGCTGCATACTTAATATTTCTTAAATCTGATATTCATGAACTTGTTATTGATTTTTATTCACCTTTCATTTTATCCCAAAATTATTATCCTCCTGTCATCTACTGCATTTATGGTTTCTTACTTCAATGGTAAATAGGTAGATTGAATATTAATTCTCAAAATCATTCTTGAAAGTCAGGTCGTTCGATTTAGATCCAATGCATTTGTATAAAAATATTGACTTCAATTTTTATTTTATCTATTATCTCTCTACAAATTAATCAGTCATGTCAGCAAGTGAACTAATTTATTAATTTTTCTAAAAATTATATGAATAATTCCTTATTTTACAATTGATCACTTTTTTATTGCCATTTTTTTTTATCAATCAAACATAATTCTCGACAAATTTCTGTAATCTATTGATGAACTGATTGCTGTCATTTTTTTAAATTTTATTTATAGGTTACATTTATGTCTGAAAGTTCTGTAACTCCCTTATCTATGCAACAAACAACTAACCAAGAACAAATAGAATCGGCTGATGATCGTATTACTTCAACTAATAATTCAGAAAATCCCTCATCGCCTGATATACTGCAAGATAATAATTTGTCACGTCCATCAAATTGGCTAGGAAATATACCTACATATAAACCGCATAATCTTCCTTTAGAAGGTAGTTTAGTTTCATTAAGTGCTCTTCCAAAAAGGCGTCAATTTTTAGCCTCTTACAGACCATCTCAACGATTACCTCGTGCAAGACATTTATTGGCGGAATTACGATCTGAAACTTCATCTGTGACAGAAACAGCTTACTCCTGTAGAGAAATACACAATCTTTGGGCAGGAAATAGAATGAAAAAGCTTACTCGTGCTAAACTATTTGTTGGACCTTCAAAAGAATCAGGTAGTTAAGTAGAAATTCATTCAGTCTATCATATGTTAGGCACATAATAGTTTTTGCATTAACTCACCTCAATAATACACATATCATGGTCATTGATGCTTAAAAGTCAATTGTCCTGTGTTCAGAGTTAGAACGAATAAATCTTTTGATTATGTAAAAAACTAGCTCAATTACTAAACTAACTCTACATTAATCATCATCAATAATGCGAACAAATTGAGAAAAATTGTTGCACCGAATATAAGTTTCTATAGATTGTATTTTGATGCGCTTAACTACAACCCGTTGTTTTAGTTGCATTCCAATGATTCCGAAATATTTTCTACTTATTTTCTACTTGTTGATGGAGCATTCATTTGAAATTTTTGCTTGTATTTTCTTTTGACATCAAAGCACATTTATAAAACTGTATGGCTAACTAATTATTATTTCAGAAATAGTCATTTTGATTCTTTTTAACTTGCAGACAGATCTTTTTATATATATACACGATTGACACATCTTGGCATATCTTCACGGGGAAATAACATAAAACAAACGAAATAATAAAATATATATGACCATTTAGAGCTCTTTGAATAAACAAGATATTCGTTGGTGTTGATGTGTAATATCAATCAAAAAACATGTTAACTGTACTTCTAGAGATGTGACAATATGTTTTAATGACTTATATCAAGATAACTATGAAAGATCATCTTTTCAGTTACTCGAATGATTAAGTCCTTTAACTTGAGTAAAATATTTTAAAAAATAATCTTAATCATTCTAAGTCAGTTATTATCATGTAATAACTTTTCTTGAGCTCTAAACTTTATTTTTATTTTACATTTTTAACCTCTGTAACCGGTGACAACTTTGATTTTTAGATCTTATCGCTGTTGCTGGTAATGAAGATGTTAATGGTGCTTTGATATGGCGGTGCTCTGATGGCACACAAGTACAAGTCTTACAACCTCCTGAAACTACTGCTGATAATCCTATCTTGGATGTATGTCCCATCTTTGTTGCACAGAATCAAAGTCATTATTTAACATTACTTACTGATCGAATGCTTCATTTTTATATGTGGCGTGCTCAGAATTGATAATAATCTTATAGTGTAAATATGTATATATTGCAACCTAGATCATTATAACTATTATTTTTTATTTAAAACAATGAATGTAAAGTATAAGTAATTTTAACAAATCCTTATTGGTATATTCCATAGTTACAAAATTTATGTTTGAAAGATGGATGGCTGGGTTTTTTGTAGTTGATTTCAATGTTCCCTACTGTTTTTATAGATTTTGACTTCCTTACTGACCAAGAGCATAGTTCGCCTGATGTTAGGCTTCAATAACAATCTTATGAATTCCACTATCCTGGGTATTTTATCAATTAAAGTGGTTAGTGATTTCACAATCTTGCTCATTACGAATATATCAAAGATACAATAATCTTTGTTTCTTAAAGGAAAAGTACATGCTAATGCGATAGGCACTTTGTAGTTCCTCAGCAATATTGAAAAGGGAAATGAAGAAAAGAACAGGAATTTATAAGTAGGTAACAAAATGTAATAATTTGTAATAGAATAAACTAAGGTATTTCGATCTAGCAGGTTAAGATTAACTCTTTGTTCAATAGATTGTGTGTCACTTAAGAGTCTGGGGACGACTTACAGAGCAGTTTTCGGTCTCCTTATTGTAGTTTTCAATGGATAGCCAACATTCAAACCGCCAATTACGTTCAATAGTGAAAACCTTGTATTAAAAAACAAATCCCTTCAGAATATTTCGATAACTTAGCTTCAACATTCATTATAATTACATCAGTACTTCATTAACAAACTAATAAATCCAAAAATTTAGATGAAATACTATTCAATTGTCTTATTAGGTTTTTTTCGGAGTTTGGTTGCAGATGTCCTTTGAAAGTAATGGTAGATGCATTAATTCATTCTGTCTCTAAAAAACACTTCATAAGCGAATGTTGATTACCTAGTTGACTGTCTTTTTGCTTTTGGCTTTAACATCTGTCGTTGATATCTGTTTTGTGAAAACAGCTACTAGCTGTGATAAGCGTTCCTTTAAGTCATCTACAGGAAAAGTATTATGTAACAACAATTAACCTCAAGGTCGCATCTGTCTGTACTTGATAAACGGGCGATAAATATCATCCGTAATTATGAAACGGTACATTTAACAGGTGCTTATTGCCTAGACGTAATTCAGTTAAATGTTCAACAGTACTCAAAAGTAAAATTATAAGTCTGGTTTGGTGAAACCAAGTTGCACAAATGTTCTTGAAGCACTAATCATAATTACGATAGCCGGTGCTAAATCTTAATCCGAATTTAAAGCATCTACGTGGATATCTTGTCGCTAGATGAAGCGATTGAACTAGATTGTAAATTAGTGTTCTTGTAAATTGCGCTGTTAAATTTTAGAGGAGCTAGTTGAACATGAAAAATTTTCTATTCTAGTCTACCGAAATTAGACTTTGAATAGTTTATTATTTGTGTCAAAACCCTAAGTCCTCTGTAAATTTACCAAGACTATGCCATGGCTCATTAAACTCAACGTAACTCCTGACATCACTCGATAACGTTAGTCAAATACACTTGTTGTGATTCGGGCCGAGGTTGACTGTGAACACTAATGCAAACCAAATACGTTCTGTTCTTAACTCATCCTGTTGTGAACCGAAAACGGGGGAGAAGAGATAGTCCAGATGAAGGAGTATAATTGCTGGCGATTTTTCGGTATCGAAAGAATACCGGGATCGTGCCAGAGAAAACAACCGAAAATTTACAGAGCAGCTGGAACGAGATGACGATCGCGCCAAAGGGAGTGTAGCACAGAAAGTGCGAATAAAAAAGTTCAGTAAAACATCCATTGGTAAAACTGGTTATAATAATCAGTGTTTCAAATTAACCAGTCGCGCTTTCTTCGTACAAGCGGAATAACAACATTAACCCCCGGCTATAAATGGTGAACACTTTCGATACGTAGCGACTTCATCCGTAGGACTGATAAGCGAAACGTGCGATTGTTGGACGTAACTGTTGACAAACGGAAAGCAGTCCGTGATGCTTGACTTGTCGCCGATGCTCTTTTAAGGAGGAGGGTACCAGGAGTTGGCGTTCCACACCGTAGTCGTTTGTATTCAGAATTTGAAGATGGCATTCGAAGGGTTAGGGACACAAAACGCTGCAGACGTACGACGAAACCAAGCTGACTTGAGAAACTAGAAACGACCATGAAAACCAGAGTTGGGATGGTACGTATGCCAGACGTAGTCGGAACCAGAACGTCGACCAGGTATTATGAAAGGGACGTAGGTGATCAGACAGGCTGTAGCCAAGATTGAGCAAAGTCAACGGAACCAGAAGTGTGATGGTTGGGGGTGTAATTTCAGGGTAAATAAATCACGAAAATATGGTGTATCAACCATGTAGTGAAGGACAACACAGGTGAGGGCAACTGAACCGTATTTAACGAAAATTACAGAGTTACTCAGTAAAATAGGAAATCCATATCGTAAACGATTAATTTGCAAATCTTCAATCCATTGTCTGACATTTCACTATTCATGCGTTTCATACAAATTCCATTGTGTTCCCACCCATCCTTTCTTGATCTTCCCTCATCTTCTGCTGCCAGACATTAGGTTTACACTCGCGTCATATACTACGTATAAGTAGCGCGCACCACACTCGTCCCCCCTTTTAATAAGCTGTCGTCATAGTCTCTGACTGCCGTACCGTTGTCATTTTTGGCGCTTTTCGTGACTCGTACAGTTGATAATCTTGAATCCACCTCTGCAGTTGACTAGCATTTACGCGCTTCTGCTTGTCTTCTCTCCGGATCGTGTAAACCGCGCCGCGTCTTTCCGTGATAACGTACGGTCCTTCACATTTTGGGATCAGAAAAATCAATGATAACTCTTTCTCTCTATCTCCTCCTTTAGATGCTAACCATTCCTTTAACGTCCGGCTGTTTCTCTCTGTAAGCCCGTTTATCTGCGGATGATACAGTGTAGTTCGTATCCTCTTGATGTCAAACCGCTTTAGATGGGCTTTAAACTTGTCACTTTCAAAACAGGGACCCTGGTCAGTTAATATCACTTTCCGTATTCCGTGACACGCTACAATATGCCGGATTACTACTTCGGTCATTGTTCTTGCCCGCTGGTCTGGAATGGGTACGGCATCTATCCAACGTGTAGCGTTTACTAGTTCCTGCTGCTGGGACACGGCGGCAGGCACATTCGATAAATTGCGACGCCAACAACTGTGCCCCCGACTCCCCATCCACACTCGGCAGCGCACGGCGCAGCAACATCGTGAGCTCTACAGCCAGCACCAACGGGTCACCATCAGCCGACAGCCTCACCAACCGGAACCTCTGCGGCGCCCCCTCCCCTCTCTTGGAACCCCCAAGGTAAAAGTAAAAGAGGAAGATTAAGAATTACATTACTCCGAGAAAGGGAGAAACACATGAGAGGGGTAAACAAAAATTGGAAAGAACCTGGAAAGCAAATCTGGAAAGGCAAACCCGAAACATCTGTTTAGGTTCATGTCAAAAATAAAACCTACTAATCAAGGGTTGTGTTCTCTTAAAGGACCAAACAGGGAAGACCTCACCAACCTAGAGATAACCCAGATCTTCAACACCGCCTTTCCTGATCAATTAAACCAGGCGCCTACATGTTCAGAGTATTACGCCAACCCAGTGCCAGCTGACGGCTTAGGGAACATCCGTATCACTCCTGACCTAGTATTAAGGAAACTGAAATCCTTACGCTCAGGTAGGTCACCAGGTTGTGACAAAATCCGCCCTATAGTCTTTCAACAGTGCGCTTGGACCGTAAAATACCGGTACACGTAATATTCCTCGACTTTGCAAAGGCCTCTGACACAGTGCCCCACGCACGCCTAATCGAATAGGTTGTGGAAATGGGCTTCACTGACCTACTTCTATCTTGGCTCAGAAACTACCTTGAGAATAGAAAATTTCGCACCAAGGTAAGCAGAGTGCACGCGAGTTGGTAAGTATCCACATCGGGAGTTTCACAGGGGACCATCCTAGGCACACCCCTCTTCCTGATAATTATTAACGACCTGCTAGGCTCAGTTAGCTCACCGGCATTGATCTACGCAGACGATGCGAAGATCTGGAGGTCCATTAGAAGCGAAGAGGATTCGACTGAGCTTCAAAAGGATCTTACATCTATTGAGAAATGGGCAGTGAAAGACGGTTTAAAACTCAACCAACCGATGTGCCACGTCATGCATTTCCTGCCTCATATGACGCAAACGACCTAAACTCTCAATGGATGTCCGCTTCCTAATGTCTCCTCACAGCGCGATCTTGGTTTAATAACCACAGAAAGCCTCCACACCAGTCCAAACTATGTAGGGGATGCAGCCAAAGCAAATGCGACTCTTCACTTTATGCGAAGACAGCTTGGTGCTATCACACCGAAATTATTTTTAACCTTGTTTAAGACGTACGCGCGCCCACACTTGGAGGTTCACAACATAATCGCACCCCTTCTGCTTAAAAGAGACAGTAATCTCTTGGATCGAGTGCAGAGACGAACAACGAAATGGGTGATAGGGTTGAAAAATATACCCTACGACGACAGACTCCAGCTCTTGGGATTATCCCCACTGAGCTACAGGAGAATCAGAGGTGATCTGATTATGGCATACAGCATATTAAACACGCCAAAGCATCCCAATGTGAGCATCTTACCGATGCATCACCATCACTCGCCTCAAGGCGATCCTCGAAAGATTGCACATCAAAGAGCAAACACTCTGATTCGTGCACACTTTTTCACATTGCGAGTCGTCGCAACTTGGAATGCTCTCGCAGCCGAAGTAGTTACAGCCCCCTCAGTGGACTGCTTTAAGAAGAGACTTGATAATCACGTACTCACATACGGACTATCATCTCCCTCTTGGACAAGCTGTGCCTGATGCATATCTTGAGACCTGCTAGTTTTTGCCATCGACGTCTCCTCAGATCACTCAATTTATCTATCTTGCCTATTATCTCTGTTTCCTCTCCCTTGCTTACACTTCGGTCCTCTCTCACAATCTTCACTACCAATTAATAAACTAAATTCATCTATATATTACTCAGTTCTGAAATTTTATTTATATTATCATTTTAATTTATCCTTATTACCCTTATTACTCTCCACATTGCAACTAACTGATCTCCGGTTTGGTAATGTGACGGCTGCTAGTATCCAGAAACCCTACTGCCATGAAACAAACGTTTTCATTCAAATACGGAGACATACAAACTTACAACCAACTGCCAACTGACTAGAATTAGACAGTCGAGTGGCTAGACCTCCATCCATTGGACATTACCGAACACCTGGAACCGTACCGAAAGAACAAGAATGGAGCGCGAAGAAATCAAATTGGTTTACACTAGCTCGTGAAAAAGATATTGGATATTGGATATTGAATGTGGAAATACTGGATAGGAGGAGAAAAAAGAACACTACAGAATTTTCAGAAGCCTGGCACTCAGGTCAATCAGCAATCAACAAGAGATTCAACATCTCATACCACCCAAGTCATACGAAAGCACCCTTCGGTACTTGTTTCCGATCCAGAAGAATAAAGGATACCCTTAGGCAACAATGGTGACAAAAGTCATTTCACTCAAATCATTACGAACAACTTGAGTTTCGTATCAACCTAAACCTCATCGAAATTCCAGAACAGAAGTTTCACAAATGGTATTCCGTAAGAAAGATTAGAACTACCCGGCAATGCAATCGTCCACGGGATTCCAAACATCCAAGCTTTAAAATCTACCAGGTCCAAGAGGCTAAAAGCCACCATCCACTTACTGTGTCTGTACACAAGGCTAAACATTTTCACCCAGATATTCACTTGTCGATACTATTCAAATCTAAAGCATCTGTAGAAGCAAGTGAATTTCTGAGTTTATGGAACACCATCTAAGTGTCAGGGAACAAATATTTAGCGTTTCTCAAAGTTGGAGTATTGTGTCGTCAGTACCCAATATTGTGTATATCTCTCACATGCTTTTTCCCTTACAAAAACGAGTGCAAGCCACTTTAACGAGAAACAGCGGAGAGTTTCTCAGACGCTCTTGTATTTTTAAGGAAAGTTGTATTGCGACGACCTTTATGTTCAACCTTCTTAACACCCTGTAAGGAGTTCCAATAAGCGGTTCTGACTCTCTTGTCCAATCTGCTGAGAATGATAGGCATATAATCCCTTGAATATCTTAGAAAAACCAAGGTATTTCCAGCTCCAACATTATTCTCTGCTTTAGTTTTGATTATTTTTGAGCTTCATGTTTTTTAGTACGGTCCGCGACTGACAAGGCTTTACAGACAAAACTCCTGATACTTTAGTTTATGTCTATTCTGTAGTATTAATTACTTTTAATTAGAAGAATCAAAAGCTAACTTTGGAGAAGTAGTCTTTTTTAAGTCTATTTGGCTGTCTTGTCTTAAAAACTTCAGTAAAGTGACCCACAGATATCCCGAAACATTGGCTGAATTACTAGACCCTTTATCAAAACTAGCTTTGAGCTGAACACCCCTGTTTTGTTTTGTCCAACGTAGACAAATTGACTCGGGACTTGTTTAGGATGATTTAACATTTAACGAAAGAGAGACGATCATTAGAATAATCTCGAATGCACTAATATGCATTTTGGCAGCGTTTAAAATTGCAACAGCTTCGAAAACCAGGCTCTTCATGTCTGAACACTATTGCTGACACAAATAAAAGCACTAAAAATACTAAGCCATTTTAAAAACGTAGGTAATAGATTTATACAAGCTTCGTAGAATCAGTCTTTGCACTCAGCAATTCATGCAGCTGTCCTTCTTAAATAGCCCGCTTTCGTTCACTTCTTCATCGAAAGACTTCTCACAACCTAGTATTTGTAGAATTACACAAACATGTTTGGTGAAATTAAAAACATACAACGAATTCAATTATTTCTAAGTATTCCTCGTATAAGTAGGTACTGTAACCTTCAGTGTGTTTGGATGAATTCATAGTTGGGTCTGTAGATCCGGCGCCTTTCTGCTATTGGAATAGTCTGGTATTCGAAATTGTTTTGTCCGGATACATGTATGTTCTTTATATTAAAATGGATTATATTATATTGTGTAGAAAATTCTAACTTTAACACATGTCTGCCTTGACATTGAAAGGCGGTGATAGCACTGCAAGTGATGACTGGAAGTCAACTCTCAAGCTTCCGGAGAAGGATATGCGTATCAAAACGGCCGATGTGACGGCTTTGAAAGGAAGCAGTTTTGAAGACTTTTGTCTAAAGAGAGATATCTTGAAAGGAATCTACGAGAAAGGTTGGGAATCCCCGTCACCAATCCAAGAGTCCAGTATACCAATTGCACTAACACACAGAGATATTATGGCAAGAGCCAAGAATGGAACTGGTAAAACAGGAGCTTACTCAGTACCTGTCTTAGAATCAATCGATACTTCACTCAACAAGATACAAGCTATCATCTTAGTCCCCACCCGAGAACTTGCACTACAGACGAGCCAAATCTGCATAGAACTTGCGAAGCACACTGCAATTAAAATCATGCTGGTGATTGGTGGCACACTACTTAAAGATGATTTAATTAGATTAAGTCAAACTGTTCATGTTTTGATTGGTACTCCTGGTCGCTTGGTGGACTTACTAAGCAGAGGTCTCATTGACATATCGAAGTGCAAAATTGTTGTTTTGGACGAAGCCGACAAATTACTTTCCGAAGAGCTGAAAAGTGGGGTTGAAGAAATCCTCAATGGAGTGGATAAAAGCCGCCAAGTTCTTGTATACTCAGCAACATACCCAGTTACAGTTCAGTCATTTATGGCTCAGCATTTGCGCAATCCCTATCAAATAAACTTGATGGAGACATTAACTTTGAAAGGAATTACTGAATATTATGCATATGTCCAGGAAAAACATAAGGTAAGTCGCTGTAACTGTTCCTAATGGGTCACTTAGGTGCACTGCTTAAATACGTTGTTCTCCAAACTACAAATCAGCCAGTCTATTATATTTTGTAGTTCAGCACAACGAGTCGAACTTCTTGCCAAAAAAATCACCCAGTTGGGATATTCCTGTTATTATATACATGCCAGAATGTCCCAGCAGGATCGAAACAGAGTCTTTCATGATTTTCGAAATGGTTGCTGCCGCAACCTAGTTTGTACAGACCTTTTGACTCGTGGCATTGACATTCCGACAGTGAATGTTGTTATAAATTTTGACTTCCCAAAATATTCTGAAACTTATTTGCATCGCATTGGTAGATCTGGTCGCTTCGGTCATTTGGGTATCGCTATTAACTTGGTTACTTATGCGGACAGGTAGGTCTCTAACACGTATTTGACTGATTTTTTGCAGATATGCTTTAAAAACGGTGGAAACAGAACTAGTTACGGAAATCAAGCCGATTCCCAAAGAAATCGACAAGCGGCTCTATGTAGCAGAGTATCAAAACGAAAATAATTTGGATCCGACGACAAGAGAAGCACTGTTTAATGGTCGTGGGTTACCTCCGAATAACAAGGAGGAAGTTGTTAACAATCATTAATATATAAAACCTCCCGGTGACTTCTGGGCATTGACCTAAGATGCTCGCCACTTTAGAATCCCTAATTTTTCGAGTTTAGGTTATCCTAATTATTTTCTTCGCAGCTTCGATGGACCCATTCCCACTCGTGATATGCTGTATAGTTTAATTTTCCCCATCTGTCCTTTTCAGTTGGGGTTTTTTTTCAAATGTTTATTTTTTTGTTATTATTAGCCCTAACCAGAACTCCCTGTTCCCCTGTATTATATCCCAGATGTACAGTTGGCTTAAATGCCCCTCATACTTCGTGTCGTTTTGAAAGTCCCCTTTGGCTTTGTAGTATCCAAATGATGGTTTTAACGAGTGCGTTGGATCTACTAGCCACACATCCCAATACTTGTATGTGGTCAGTGTTGCCCTCATTTGCTTGCTCATGATTGTTGTTACTCTCCAGGAAGCTGACCAATGGTGTTTTTGTTTAATTTAAAAGTAAATAAAGGTTCTTGGTAGAATAATTATTGCTTCCATGTGTTAACTGTTGGGTGGGTAGTATTTCTTTGTAACTCAATGAGTGGCGTCACAACATTTGGACGTAGTTCCATCGTTGACACGTCTGTGAGGACGTATCTGGTTGTCGATATTTCACTTCCTCACTGTGGCTATTCATCATATATATGTTTGTATTAGATTGGGTGCTGGTCCTGATAACAACAGGATGAGGCCAACCACTTGGCTTCATCATACAGTTGTACACATTAAGGGGTGTGTTTTGGTCGGAGCGTCTATCTTAGTGAGCCACATTCCGAGTAAGCGGATTTCTTATGTCAGATCTGCCCGTACTAACTTCTGGATAACGATAGAGCTACTTTAAGATAGATGCGTGCTTAAAATCCGGCGGCACCTGGATGTATTTGCACTGGACAAGGTGTACACTGTCCTAGTTATGTCCCTTTCCCCAGTGGTCATCTTGGGCTGGACTGCCGATGTTCTTTGTTTTGATTAGTGGGACTGGTAGGTTCATGTTCTGTGACGGGGAGTGGTTGTAGCCTGTCTAGAGAAAGAATGGGGCATCCATGCTTTACTAAAGATGACGTTGTAAGGTGATCATAATGGATGCTGGAGATAACTCAACCACAGTGGTTTTAGTCAATGTAGGTGGTGCTACTAGATTTAGGTGATGAAAGTATCGTTTCTAGTGAGGTAGATGAGTGTGGTTTCTAGGGTTTTCATGATGTGGCACAGAATTCACAAAATCTTGAGAAACCTGTCTCAATAAGTGTGGGTAAGGGCTACCCCCGTAATCGTAGTATCGGAACTGAGCTGGTTGTGGCTCGTCAGTGTCTGAGGCAAAGATGTGTACTACCGCATAATGTCGGGGCCGTGAGATCACGTACTGGGTGCACCCCTGTCTCGCGGGTACACGCTGCTAATCAACTTCCAATTAATTCGTCACTGCCATCTACCGCTCCTCGATTGGCACCCTGGATTATAATGGTTTCGACCTATGTTGTGTCCAGTACAACGTGATATTATCAGGTTCCTCTCATTCCTGATTGTCACAATATCTGAATACAAGAGAAGTTAAAGGTGTAAGGATACAAAAGCCACGGTCTACTGGGTATTCATTCATTCGGCACGAAGAGTCGCCTAAATGATAGTGCACTGCACGAATCGCTAGATATATATGTGGGCTGGAATACTACCTAGGTGCCCAGACCGTATTGGCGGCTTCCTTAGATTAAAATTCCACAAGCATTTGATATAGAGGTCTAACCCATAAGGCGGTATGGAAACTTCATGAAGTGCCGTCCCGCGATATCTGATGTTCAGATTAATTTGTTCTCTCTGGATCCCGTTCAGACAATTGATTTAGAACCAGGCTTTTCCAGCTACCCTGGATGGACCCTCCGCCAACCGAGTTCAGACGCCGGGCATCCAGTTTTCGTCCTCAGCAGCCACCGCGTGAGGGCACTGAGGCTTCCTTGGTAGTAGCTATACACACGTGTCGGTGTAAGAGCATTTCAGGAGGGCGGACGAACTTTTCCCACTTTCGGCCATACCATGGCACTTCGGTGTAAGTTTTATGGTGAAGACGAAGAGTTGTGTTTACGTCTAAAATCTAATACTCTGACCCCTGAACTTTTACGCCTGTCAAAAAGGGAAATCCCCATTGTAATGGTCCATTGAAATTGTGAACGATAAATTGTAATGAAGCTGTCAGGATGGTATTCACTACCTACCTACCTACTACTAACGTAGTGATTTTATAGTTGACCATTTCCTGTTAAGGTTCCTTTTAGTATGGTGAGGCTGCTAGATCTCCAGTATTTTGCAGTGTCAGTCCTTTCCCTAAACCAGACTGGTAATTCTCAGAACAGGATAAATTACGTCTGATTGACAACTACCATCAATGAAATCTTTCTACTTCTAGGCTTTATTACTCAAACCTTATGAGTTCTGATTGATCTCCTGTTAAAATTATTGCAAGAAGAATATTCTGTCTATATTTTTGTAAGGCATTTAAAACTGTAAGTAGTTTTATCTCAATAAAATACTCCAATTTATCAGCAATTAATTTTAACAACCTTACTTCCTAACTAGTACACATTTTAACGTTACATATTCGATGGTTTATTCCAGTATGTTTTTTCTTTATAATAAGATTTCTAAGTTAATTACTCATTGAAAGGACACTTTCAGTTTAAGGTTTGGGATAGTTTTACTTAACGATGCTTGTTGACAATAAAAGTTTAATGTCGATCACCAGTTCTAATAACTTTGAAATCTGGAAATAAACTTTAGCACTTGTTTACCAGAATTTATTAAATTTTTCCAAGTAAACTATTATACATAACAATGACTTCGAATATTCATATTAATATTTTCTGGTTAAATAAATTTGGTTTCTATTTTAATCTAGACAACAGTTTCTATGCAGAAAAGAATTTTCAAATGGGAAGTTTAGGAATCTATTTGTAGGAAGTTTTAATTTAATTCTTTCCATTGCTAAATATACACTCACACTACTTGTCATGAATAAACTTCGTGATTTGTCAAAAATGATATGAACTTGCTGATATGCATGGCGTCTTAAATAAAAAGAGAATATCATGTAGCAATTTTTTGATATAGTATAAAACCAGTTCCTAAAGAAAAAGTTGAAAACAAAAACATATATGAGATTGAACTGTTGATCAACCTAAATCTAGGTTGTAGGTATGTTATTAGCAGATTATAAAGAAAACTGTATTTGGTGTAATGCTGTATCAAGATAGTCAACTTGTGATTCTGTGGCCTTTTAATTAACTGGCTATGTATATTGAGTAACAAATGTTCTCATTACGTAGAAAAAGTGGAGAGAAATAACAGAAGTAGGAGCACACAATCAACAAATGAAAGAGCTTATAAATTATTGAAAATTCAATAAAACCTTATAATTTCTCATTTGTTAACTTATACGAAATGACGTGGTCAATGTTTTATGATAATAGGATGTTTTTCAAAATAAAATTCCTTTCACAACCATTACAAAAGACTAAGAACTGTGTAAATTTACTGCTGACTGTTGCAGTAACCATCTATATTGAATACTAAAATGGTTGTCGTATGATAGAACAATAATGACAAAATAAAGAAATCATATAAAATACTAGTTAGTGAAACAAGAATTATGTAAAATTGTATTCTTATAAATTTCTGTTGAAAAGTTTACGTACAACGAGTTAGAAAAGTGTAAACGAAAACAACATAAATAGATGCAAAGTACTAGTTAAGTTATATACTCGATCAAAAAATAAGACAAATTCAAATCAGTAGATAATTTGAAATGAGAAAATTCGGCGTATGTAACATGCACATACCAGATAATTTATGTATCATATTTGTCTATTCAGTAAGCTTGATTTACTTACCTATCACGTTACCCAGTGATTAGGATTGGTGTTACACCAAGTGTCAGCGCAGAAGCCGTTTCAGTTGACTGGCTCCTCAGTAACAGTTGTTTATGTACTTACCGTTAGATTTAAAAGCTCTATCAAGTTGAGAAGCTATCGATGTGAAAAAATGTATTTTTCTCTACTTCTGCCTATGTCCTGACAAATCGCATCCCAGATACAATCAAGGATGACTTCTACCGACAGTTAGAAAGCTCATTCAACAGATGTAGTATTGGCCAGAGATTAAAATGTACAGGTAGAGGGTCCAGGCGCAGAAAAAACTCACTTGGGTGGCCAAATGAGGACTCATTAGTCTCAGGTCATATTATTGTGACCGTTTTCTATGGTCGTGGACAGACAACTACCGGTATTGGCCAGCACCAAATTTAGGTGCAGTCACTAACTATGCACTACCTGGAGTCTCTCCTCTACAAATCAAGCCTAGGTTCAAATCGGCAACATCGTGATCGGTTACAAGTGGCATGATTATGAGCAATACTGAGCTCACTTTGAGATACCTATCTGGACTTTAATCATGGTTTCTTTTCTACCACTGTTATTTCATATTTTAGAGGTGAGTAGTCTCATCATCCTAAACTGTAGCTCCTGTTGCCATAAAATATCAAACGAAATTAGACTCAAGGTTAGTGGTCACCTCTCTGGAAAGCGCTGACTGCGGTTGGATGACATCATGAAAATGATGAGTCCTTTATGGCTTCATCAGGCTAAGTTTGACGAATAACCTCTATACTTATTGTAGCCCAACAATTATTATGCTTCTTGATATAGGGGTCGTCCTGGGAAGAAGGCAATGCCTCAGACGTTTATTAACATTTGGAGGCTCTGTATACAAACACTTCAGACATAGTGAGCACATATAACTACTTTTTTCCAGTGACTTGTTCGAGCAGAAGGGTTAGGCAGGATTGCCTTATTTTACCATTCCTCTTTAACATCTATAAAGGAGTTAGGCGGTGGTGTAGATCTATTAACTGAAGCAAGACATACATCTTAAGAATATGGACTGTAGTGTCTTGCTGTATAATTATATTCAAAGTATTCAATCGGTACTTAATCAGTGTGCATAGATAAAGAATATACTTTACACATAAATGAATAGTAATTTGGCAAGACTGATAAAAGCCTATGTTACCATTAACTCTTTGCAAAAAGCCATTAGAAGTAGTCAAAAATTTCGTGTACTGGCGGAGGGATGTCAGATGAAAACCTTCCATGTATAGTAAAAGCCGAACTGGTTCACGCTGATCCGAGCCGTCGTGATGTTAGTCTGATGAAACCAGTTCCGCTTCTTACTTGTGAAGTTTGGCATTTCGAAGTTGGGGATGTTTAACGACTCTCTGTTTGCCCATCGTCGTCTCTGAAGAATTACTGACACTCAACGGCAACATCATTTTTGTGATGTCAGGGTTGGGCAATGTTTGTTCCAAAACACTTCTGATAATTTAACTGAAGTAACTATTCTGAAACTTAATCGATTTCAAATTAATTAAACTGCTTTGTTTGCTATCCTAAAAGTAACTGACGTAGAGTCAGGTAACAACTTTCGTTAGATCC